CTGCAGACAGATGAGCATTTTGCCTTTATATATCTCATTTTTCTCATTCATGTATCATCCTCTCTCTTTTTCCTTTGTCTCCCCCTCCACTCCCAGCACGTCCTCATGCCGACTCCAGGTTTCAGCCATGATATAGTGGATTAGGTGCAAGGCTGACTGGCAGCTCTTACAGCTGGGGAGCTAATTCACATTTCTGCAGCTGGCTCAGCCCATATCTCTGAAGCCCTCTGTGGCTCTTTTTTCTCCACCTGGGAAGCAGTTATGCTTATCCACTTTGAAAAAAAAAACCAAAAAGTGATTTCCACTTAATATACCGAAGAATAGCATGGGATGTTGTTAAATAGGAAACTTAATGTGAGAGAGCATGTGCATGGACTGCTGCACTTGGCCACTCACAGCTCAAGGAGAGCCATAGCAGGTCTGCATCCCCTGGGACTGATCTAAAAGAAGCAGCAGCAGGATGGCATCTGGAGGAGTCCATCCATCTCCCTCCCAGCAGGGCGCTAAGCAGCTACACTAACAGCAGCTGACAGTGGGAAAGCTAATGGGTGTGTGCATTAGCCTACATAAGCATGTTCAAGATAGGAGGGCTCTGCAGAAATCAAAGGGGTTAAATTTCCAAGCCTCCTGTTCCAGAGATTATGAAACCACTCCAAGGGATCAAGCTCTGTCTTGGGATGGTCACAAAGAGACTTCATATCATCATGGTTTTTTGTCTCACTCATCCTTGTGAACTCTAATGTGTATGTGCATATGTGGGTGTCTCTGTAAAGGCTGCTCAAATGCATTTTTAAATTTCTCCCCACTATGCCCAGAAACACAGATCTATTACATGCAAGATAAAGAAGAGGGTTATTTCTTTAAACACAGAAATTTTCAAGTTTAAACTCACCCTTAATATGTCCACTTGTCCAGGACAGAGTCAGCAAGCAGCTCACCATGGCTTACCAGATGCCCAACACCAGCCACCTGACAGATCTGTGCCATAGTACTGAAAAGTTATGGTGACATTTTTTCCCTTGGCATAAGCAACAGACACTGCTACAACAGATGTGGTCCTTGAAGCAAATATTTCATGATAAACAAGAAACCTGTGTAAACAGTGAGTATAGATATATAATTGATGATGGATGCATTTGGGACCAGAGCAAGATCTAAAGAACTTAGTTTTAGGCACAGTAACCAGGGGAGATACTTCTCCCCCCAGGTGTGACCCCTGACATGTCCTCCAGGCCAGGTTCATTCAGCTCAGCTGTATCTAGGAGCTTAAACTGCCCTAGAAAGCTTGAACCACGTGGGTTGGGAATAGGGAGAGGGAACGGGAGCGAAGCCAAACTGGATGAGCGGAAAATCTCTCCTGTAAAAGCTTGCAAGACCTTTACAGATCATCATAATGGCTTTTTGTTGTTGTAGTTGCAGGGATCATTTTTTAAAACAAAGAGATAACGTTTGGTTCATTTCTTTCATTTTGGAAAAGGGCAGCTCCTAAGCCCTTATCATTAAGAAATAAGAGCAGTGTTACATGTTCAAACAATTTATGTGAAGATCCTGCCATTTGTTATGGGAACAGCAAGTACAACTGCAAGTCCATTATCATCCCTCCCTGCCTCTGCATGCACAGCATGAGCAAGTGAGGAAGATTAGGGGTAAAAGCAATGGAGCCTGCAAAGTCAGTGACAAATATTCAGTACTTAAAACCCTTTTTGATGCTTCCCACTCTGAAGTGAGGCTTTGATTTGGTCAGCGGTCAGACATGGACCCACTGATTTTTCTCCAATTTACTCTCAGTCTCAAAAAATAGCAACCTCTTTTTGTGATCTGATGGCTGAGAAGGAAGTGACCCAACACCACCACAGTACTCTCCTGATGGCCCCATGAGCAGTGCTGACAGGAGGTGGGCTGCAGAACTGATACTGATAAGTTAATAGTGTTGGAAGGAGTTTCTGGACACCTGCCAGTGATATCTGCCTTTTTACTTAAAAAAAAAAAAAAATCACAAGGCAATTGGCATTACATTCTGGTCTTGTTTTGAAACCCACACTTCCTGTGACCTCCACTCCCCATATCTTCACCCTCCCACTCACAGCTAATCTCTCTCTGTCTCTCCCCACTCCTCTGTGTTTCTGCAGACAACACATTTATGGTGCTGTGAGTCTGCAGCAGCCGACAGACCATTTCTCATAATAAACCACTCCTGGCTGCACAGCCAGGCTGGGCTCTGCCACGTGAGCAGTTGGGAATTCATGGTTTTTCTAAAGAAGCTTTGCACTCCAGAAAAAAACCCCTACATCTTCTGTAAGAAGAGCGCATGCCAGGGCAAGCACAGAGGGCTGGCAAGGAGGACAGCAGGGATGGGGAGTCTGGTACAGCCCTCCATGACATCCTGCATGGTGAGTGCTCAGCAGTGAGCCCATTGTGAGCAGAGAGAAGAAAAGCCACTTGCTGATGGGCAGCAAGGAAGGGCAAGGCACCTGCTGCAATTACTTAGCAAAATTTAGAGGCTTTTAAATAAAGAGAAAGTTTCTGGGGAATGATCATGACCAAAACAGCAATTTAAGGAGCCTCCTGAGAGTGTGCTCTAGCTGTGCCAGCACATCCCTCAGTTCAGTGCTGCTGCCCACAGACGTCATGAGGTGCAGGGGCAAGCAGGGTGGTAGGAAGGCAGGAAGGCAGGGGCTTGTCTGCTATGTCAGGGTGCCTTCCTACACAGAGCTGTGATGTCCCCACCACAGTGGCCTGTCAGGGCAGCAGCAGATGCCAGCACAGGTTTCAGAGGCAGCTTCCATGGGCAGGTGTCCTAAAGGAGGTGATGTTTTCCTACACAGAAGCCAGCAGCAGCAGCAGGAGAGCTGACCCTGCTGCCCCACTGTCCCTGGCACCTGGCAGATGTGGCGGTGCTCCCAGCACAGGGCTGGGGTCCAGACGATCTCCAGAGGGAGCATCAGCTGTCTCCAGCATGCAGGCTGTGACTGACAGGTGGGGCTGGCTGCCAGCAATGTCCCCTTCAACCATCACAGCTGAAGCTGATGGTGGAGCAAGGGACACCGTGGCATCACTCCTGCCAGGGATGCTCTAGTACAGCAAAACTGGGAAAGGGGGAGAAGGAACCTTATCTGGGTGGACAATGAAATAAAGCAATGCAGCAAGGAGACCCTGGACTGATAAGGTGTCAGGATGGGGATGCTCAAGTTATGGGTCACACCCCATTATGGGCTCAACTACTTCTGGAAAGAGCAGAGAGCGGAAGGAAACCACATGGGAACAGAAATCCTATGTGGGCAGCAGAGCAGCGCCTTGCTGAAGGAGGAAAAGGAAATAGGGGGAAGCTGCTGTACTTTTTCAGCCTAATTGTAACTGTGTCTTCCTCAGCCCCTCCTGCAGCATTCCTGTGCCTACAGTATCTTCCTCCCTCTTCAGAGGGAAAGATCTACAAGCTCAGTTGATATTATTCATTTCACTGGAAATTTAAGAGGGAACCACTTGTAAAAGTGTTAGAACAACAAAAGAGAAATGGCAGAGGGACAGGGCTGCTAGATATTGACAGTTACACGTCTTTATCTGCTGGAAACAACTGCACAGTGTACCCCAGCCGCCAGAAACAAGGAATGAAAGAAAAGGGAAAAAAGGGCATTATTAAAGGATGAACAAACCTCCTGGCTTGGAGAAATCCATGTCCCTCCACACCTGAGCTCAAGTGCTTGCTGCAGGTCCCTACAGCCCTCCCTGTGCCAAACAGACCTGTTGTGAGGAGCCAACACAGCTACAATGCCAAGCCTAAGTACAGCGTGGTAAATTTTAAAGAAATTGAGATGTGGTAGAAAGTAACAAAGCTGTGGGAACAGAAACTTTTCTCTCTTCTGGCTCTTCTTTTGGAGTCTCAGATGCTTTGGACAGTGATCAATGAGAGGAAAACAACAGCATTTCCCATCTGTACTTGCTAAACAGGCACACTGGCACAAGCAGCTGTTGAACCAGGGCATCCCACTGGCATCTGCTTCCCATGAATCCATGGCTGGAGCAAGATGAGTCCTGCTACAGAGGCTTGGAAAATGCACCACTTTATAAAACAAGAAGTTTTGTACTAGTGAGAGAAGAATCAAAGTGGTGTTTTCAGGAAATACCACTTTTAGTATCAGAACTGTGGTGTCAAGGCACCAAGTGAAGGCTGCCAGAGAGCACAGCTAAAAGTGCTAAAGCAGTGAGATACCGAGGAATGGATGGCAGCAGCCTCCAGAACAGCGCTGGCACCCCTAACATATGACAGGATTCAAGGCCAGACACCTGGAGGGTCTGAAAGCCCTGTCTCTGCAGATGAAAAAGAGACATCTCAAACTGAGGCCTTTTGGAACAAAAAAAGCCAGTGCAGAAGAAAGAAGAGCATCACCTTATAGGAGTGAGCAACAAATGAAGACTATGAACATAAAGTCAAAATAGACATGAGCCCTTGGGAACAGAGGCTTCATGAGGTAAGATGCTCAAAAGAGGACACACAATTTAACTTCCTTGCCTGAATGGGTCCAGCAGAACCAAAACTCAGCAATGTGGCTTGGCTACCTCACAGCTTAAAAAATGGCCTGATTTCAAGTAGTCTTGAGTATGCAGCAGGTTCTCACTGAAAATTTAATCCATATTTCACACTCAGTAAGTGCCTAATATCCTCACCTTAAGCTGCTCTCTGAAATCACCTCCTCAGGAGTAAGCTCAAGGTCCATGTGCACACATGTGCCTGGAGCACATCCTCATGTTCAGCCTCTCCTTGTGCTTGGGAAGGACAATCCCTGCACTCAGCTGTCCCTGCTACATCCCTCTCAACCTCTCCTGCTTCAACACCACAGGAAGCACAGGGACACCACTGCAGACAGTGGGAGGCCATGCTCAGAGAGTGGCTCCTGAGCACCTCTAGACCCACAGCTTTACTCACCTCCGTGCTGCTGCTGGTGCCTCACTCACACCAGAGCTAATTGTGTCAAAGGCGTGTTGGCAGGGACAGGTCTCTCAGGAGCAGACAGCAGGAGGAGAGGAGAACTGACCTTCCTGGATGAAAGCATGACTGTAAAATAAGACACACACCCCCACACATTGCTATGAAATCATTCCTCTCAAAAACACCAAGCCTGATCACCTGAGTGCTGGGGCTGCTGCAAAAACTTTAATCTGTAGTGGTAGTGCTGGTGCCTAAAGCCATTGTGAAGGCAGTGCTTGCAGCACTGAGATGTGCCTAAACCCCTGCTCCATTGCTCAACACCACAGTGTGCCTGATGGTGCCATCACCCTGTGCTAAAATCTGGCCTTTCACCAGAAAACTCACTCACTCACTCACTCACTCACTCACTCACTCACTCACTCACTCTCATTTTTCCACATGAAAGAGGTGTGGGTTTTTCCCATGCATTACCTGCATTACCACAACAATCCTGTAAATACTACCTCAGCCTTTCCATTGGAGTGGTCTGTTCCTACTGAGTATACTCTTTCTTCCCAGATGCTAAAAAGAACAGGGAGTCCCTTCATGGCTCATTATCTGGATCTCTACCCAGACCTCCTCTTCCTCTCTACCCCACAATTCTGGGTAGGGGATCTCTGACAACAGAGACTTACACCTGTGAAGTGGTTCAGCATCCTGGCAGCAGTGAGCAGGAAACTCAGAAGCTTTAGCACCATCCCTGTGGATTTGAGTCCAGCTCTCTGTATCTCCTAGCGCTTTTTGCAGAATTTAATTCATACAGTTCAGCACAAGTTGGCAGAGATTTGCAACAGACAGTTCACCACAAAGGTGCTTCTCTTACAGAGTTCACCATAATTCCCCAGTGTCTGTAACTTAGTCCTGTAATTGAATGAATCAGCAGAATTTTCTATCACTTATAGAGAACAAAAGACTTAAAATTTAACCTGAGTGACCTCTGAGGGCTCCAATCCATAGACTCCATAAAATTCATGGCAGAGAAGGACATCAACACATTTATTTGGTGTTTTCATTAACATTTTTTTCATCTAGTCTTATAATTTATGAGACAGGGAGCTCTGACTCATGCCTTTGGAATGTTTGGGGTTGGCAGGAAAAGATGTCCCATACGTGTCTGTACCTCACTGTCTCTGAAAAGGTCGATGCCACTCTTTAAGTGGGTGTCAGTGTTCTCAGGGATAAAGCACCCACACAGCTGGCCAAGAGGTGCACAGTGAAGCTGCAGCATGTGTTCTGTCTATGGAGTAGGATGCTATTTCACTGAGGAGGGGCTGACCTGAATACCTACCTTGGTCTCCTTCTGTCTTTGTTATTTTCTGAAATCCTGTGATGTAAGGCTTACGCAAAGAAAATGTAACAATAAAATATCCAGCATTTGTGTATTCTCTGTACAGTAGAGGTAAGAATATGAGATTTGTTTTTCTGCAAAAGTCACCTTCTTCTCTCTATTCTAGTCAATAGCTCCCTTTTACACCACTCAGGCAAATTCCTATACTGAGCTAAGGAATTCACCTAATGAACAGATTACAATTTGCTTTTGGGATTAAAATCCCTACTTACTGCTTGTCTGTTTCCAAACAGTCATGGAACCTGCAGATGGGCAAACCTGAAAAAGAGAAATACAAAAAAACCCTCATGCATTTGTATATGTTAAAGCATCAGAACTGTCTACAAAATGAAAGCTTTCTTCTTGCTCTTTTTCGAAAAACAAGCGAACAAACCAACCAACCAAATGTACTTGAAATCATGAGCGTATAAAGAAGGATTTTTTTTCTATTATCATAGCAAGCAGGATGCAATGCATACTACCAAAAGGTTCTCAGCTAAGCAGCTCTAAAGGGGTTTATGTCAGAAACACTGCAAAAACAAACACGGCATGGAGCTATACAAATCCAGGGTGGTTTGCTGTGGCTCAGTCCTATTATCCAAGTTAATGATGCTGTGGTGTCACAGCTGCACACCCCCGCAGGGTGGGTCTCCAGCAGTGCTGTCCTGTATCCATGGAGCTGACTCAGCCTCCAGAAGAGCTGCCCCTGGCTGTGGGGCCACTGTCCATCCTTCCCTGGGGAGGGGGGAGTGGGGCAAAACCCAGGGAGTGCAGGGAAAAGGGGACTCTCAGTCACAGCTGTCGAGATGGAACAGAAAGGAAGAAGGTTTAAGTGTGAGGAGCACTGAGTAGGGAAACTCCTCCCTCTTGCCCCTTCCCAGCAGGAGCCACTTCCCTGCATTCCCTCAGCCTCCTTCCACAGCTCTACACAGATGAGTTTCTCATGGCTGGAGGATGGGCAAAGCAAATGCTGACAATGGCAGCTGGTTTTGTGCCAGAGATTTGCATTGCCTGTGTCTGTCATCAGCCCCGAGAGCTGCACTTTTTGTCTGGTTAGTTTTGTGATTTTGTTTCAAGCAGATATCCCAGCCTAAGGCCTGATGGTGATTGAAGTTCCCTGCATGGGCCAGAGGTAGCTAAGAATAAAAAAGTGATAATTTGGTAATAATTACCCTTATTATCCAGAAATCAATAAAAGTTGTGTCTATTAACATGCATTTGATGTTTACATTGAATCATACATCTGAAGCCTGTTTCAGCCAGAGACACCTCACTCATTATTATGCTGGTTTTACCAAGTACAATTTTTGGAAATCCTTCCTCTTCTTTTCCTGCTTCCCCCCTGGCAATCATTCCCAACAGCAGAGGAGACAAGGAACTGCAGTCAGAGCTCAAGACTGACTGTCTGCTGCTAGAGCAGACAAAACCTCAGGATGCACCCCACAGCACTGGGCTTCCCACTGCTCTCAGTCTGTGTGAGTGCACTGCACCAGCCTGCAGCTACAAGTTCAACAAAATCAAGGCAGCCTAAGGCTGGTGTCACGCTGCAATGAACCAGACCACTGACACCCAGGTGAAAGATTTTAGAGAATCAAATACGTATTTCTTCCCCTATAAGGATTGCAGCTAAGAAAGGTTCTTCTGTGTGAGATTTGGAGAGGCTCTCTCCTCTAATTCCCTGAAGAAAATCCGGAGGCAGAAAGCGAGACCAACATTGCACTGGTATATTGGCTGATGGGTACAAAACCTTCTGACAAGTCGTTTGCTTGGCCCTGATTGGAAAATATCTTTAATTAAAACACCACATCAGAATCCTGAACCAATTTCATCCCAGCTCTGCTAAGTGCTTTGTACAAAACATTAACTCTAAAATCTCATTACACATTAGCAATCCCTGTGACAAACATAAATGATAATTTAGCTCTAATGCATTCTGGAGCAAGCCATTTTTAAGACAGGCACATGATATCAGCTTGCTAGGAGAAGGGGAAGAGTTGAATTTATCTGTCTCTTTATTTTTTAAACAAATGGCTCTAACTGGCTCAGCAATGGGCTGCACAAATCATCGTCATGTGCAGACGTGACAGTACATAGCAGCTGCTTAGCCCAAATCTGGCACTTGAGCCTGGGCTGGGCTTTGAAATCCCACCAGCAGTGCCGAGCTGCCACGTATGTAAGCATTCAGAGGAAGGGGACTGGTATGGGGAAGGTGGGGATGTCTGTTGATCTTACAGGACAGCAGGGAGGGAGATATATCCAGAGGCTGCAGGTAATGTAAGCTTGCTGGAAAACACAGGGAGGAGGAAGGAGGAGGTGTAACTAAGGCCTGCAGTTGCTCCAGCTGGCTTCCCAGGAAAGAAGCACACGTGCAAAAAGGCAACACTTGCAGTGGTGATGTGATCCCCAGCACTAGTGGGAATTTTGCACCACTAAACACTGCACAATCCAGCCAGGACAACAGAGGACACTGCGGTGGATAATATTTATATTCAAGTACAAGAACTGTCTTAACAGCACTTCTAGGCCAGAGGGGTGGTAGTGGAACTAATGTTATTTGCATTTCTTGTCAAAAAGACATTAAATAGCCCTTCTTTGATTAGTAGCAACATTTTCAATCTCTCTCTAGTCTTGAAAATGACCTTTCCAAAGTCCTCAGGCTGCACCTTGATCAATTCTTCTGTGTGCAAGAAAGCACATGGGCTGTTAACTTTGTGAAATGGGGAATTTATGGTTATTTACTATGGGATTACGAAGCATGTACATAATAAATATTATACAGGGATTTTAAAAACAGACAAATCCCAACACTTCCTCCAAATGCCACCTATCAGATTTGGTCATTTCCTGGAAATCTAGAGGGAGAATCACTTCTTTTTACTGGCTGAATAGAAGTTGCTTAAGTTTTCAGTGAAGGGAATGCTCATCTGATCTTTTCTGGCTGCACTAGAAATCAGACAGATTCTTTCTGATTAAATTTTTTTGGGGGAGGAAGAGAGCAGATCACCTGCATCCATTTCCTTGTCAGAGATGAAAGATATCCATCAGGCCTCATGATAAGATGATGTTTCCTCTGTTGCATCTGTAGAGAAAAAGTGCAAATCAAAATGAACTTGACTTTGACAATGCACATCTCTCTCCTGTAAGAAGACTTGAAAACCTGTGTTTTGTCTAGCAAGGAAAAAATCCCCCTAAAACTTACTGCAGTATGGATGCAATCTTCAACCAGCTCTTCTTTCAAGCAGCAGTCATGCATTACTTTGCCCTACAAAAGTAAAAATATTATTTATACCAGTTTAATGGGTGCCCAGACATGTTAGCTCCATGTGCTTTTGAATTCCACAACATATCTAACAGTGTTGTCCAAATACTTCTTGAACTCTGTCAGGCTGGTGCTGTGACCACTGCCCTGGGGAACCTGTTCCAATGCCAGGTCACCATCTGGGTGAAGAACCTTTTCCTGATATCCAGCCTAAACCTCCCCTGACACAACTTCAGGCCATTCCCTCAGGTCCTGTCCCTGCTCACCACAGAGCAGAGATCATTGCCTGCCCCTCCTGTTCCCCTCACAAGGAAGCTGTAGCTGCAGTGAGGTCTCCCCTCAGTCTCCTCCAGGCTGAACAGAGCAAGCGACCTCAGCTGCTCCTCAAGGCCCTTCACCATCCTCGTAGTCCTTCTTTGGACACTCTCTAATAATTTAATGTCATTTTTACATTGTGCATCCCAAAGCTGCCCCCAGCACTCGAGGTGAGGCTGCCCCAGCTCAGAGCAGAGCAGGACAATCCCCTCCCTTGCCTGGCTGGTGATGCTGTGCCTGATGCTCCCAGGACAGGGTTGGCCCTCCTGGCTGCCAGGGCACTGCTGAGTCAGGTTCAACTTGCCATTGACCTCTGGGTCTCTTTCCACAGCACTGCTCTCCAGACTCTCATTTCCCATTCTGTGCATACATCCAAGTTTGCCCCATCCCAGATGCAGAATCCACCACTTATGTTTGTTAAACTTCATACGGCCCTCTAACTTTCTGGTGATAATCCAGCCCTCTAATTTTTCTTGGACACTTTCTGTCTAGCCCACAATTTTTCGTTTCTTCATTTACAGTAAAACGTTCCTGAATTGCTCATCCTGTAGAGGATTTGTGTTCCTAACCACTGTGCTATACTGCCAGGTTTCAGCATAATTTTCCTTCTTCTTGCCACACCTGTGCACTTGCCTCAGATACTGGACACTTCTATCGCAGACTAAAAAATCATATTTAGTAGAACTTTCAGTAACAAGCAGCATGATTGTCAAGGCAGCTCTACTGCTGTGGCTGCATGTGTAGCTGTACTCTTTCTCTTCTCTGGGTTGAAATCAGTACACTGGGTTTCAAACAGAGTTCAGTCAAAAATCATTGCATGTTGTCCACAGAAGGGGTGGGGAGTAATTTGAGGTGATAGCTTCTTTCGTCCTCAGCATGGCCCTTGGCTAATCATTAAATTATGTCTGCAGGCTCTGCAGAAGTGAGTGCATTTTGAAGGGGACCAGTGTGATAAACACTGCAGGGGGGGAACAGGAGCTGTGCTTAAATTTGTGTTTGGCAGTGACAATCAGCATTACGAAGTGATGCTTCATTAGTCATGTGAAGAACAGAACAATGCTGTTGGCTTTATTTGCAGCCTTCTGCCTCAGTTACATGCTCACCTTGGTCCATGTAACTCCAGTCATAACATCGTCCTTCTGTGGCATATCTTAACGAAAAGCCATCAAGGCCTTTGACTCTTCATGACGTGCTTCACAGCTCTGCCTACATACCTGTGTCTGCTTACATAGCTGTGTCCCACACCTGCCCAACACTTAACCACCCTTGTTCAAAGGCAAAACTCAGCCAAGGTAGCTTAAGAAAAAAAGAAAAAGTTCAACTTGTTCTACTCCTCAGCTCAGTTAATCCTTGTAGAAAGTCACTGCCTGTGTACTTTGTGCCAATCCCATGTTCAAAAACTACATTTGGTTCACATCAAGAGGAATTTTCTTCTCAACGCTGCTCCAGCAGAAAGCATAAGCTTCACTTGCTGTGGAACACATGACATTACTCCAAAAATAGTCCACTACTTCTCCAGCTTAAGAGTAATGAAGTTACCTGTTGGAGACAAAACCTACAGCTACAGGCAGGGAGCATGCTGGAGCAAGGCAGAGGGCAAATAGGATCCTGAAAAGCAATATGGTGCAAAGCAGCAGCAAAAGGGGAAGTAAATTGGGATGGGAAGTCTCAGGAACGCCAGGAAACAGATGCAGTGACAGACGAGAGAGAAGCAAGGACAGCCCTTTTGTGTGGGCTCTCAAATCCACATGGCCCAGATACACCTGGAGGTGAATGTAACCTGGGCAGGTCAAACACAAATGAGCCCTCAGTTGTGAGAGGTGAGGCAAATCTCACCTGACAGGGGCTCCACAATGAGCAAACAATGACTGCTGCAGAGCTGTGCTCTTACGTTGCACATTGTCGCTCACCTGCAGCCTGCTTGTGGTGGCAGGAGGGCTCCTCACTGCTCTCACTGTCTTCTCCCAACTCAGCTTCCCTGGACTGTTCCCCTGGGGGTGCCCATGCCATGTCCTGCCCCTTTATGCTGCAGCTTCTCCACTTGGCTGGCACCTAGGGAAGGGAAGCATGAGGAGGGGCACGTCACAGCCAGCTGGAGAAGGGGTGCCCCATGGGACCAGCCTGGACCTGCTGCTGCCCAGCAGCCCTGGCAGCCTCCCTCCACTGAGTGAAGAAGACAAGAATGCATCAGTGTTCACTGGATAACCATTACCCAGATAGAAAAACAGGTAAATTGCTTTATCCTTGGAATTCTGCTCCATGGTCTTCTCTCTCCCCCTTTGCTTGACCAGATGCTGTTCTCTGGCAGCCTCATTTCAGGAAGGAGTGGATGATACAGCACCCATGAGTGCTGCTGGAAGCAGCTGGGAAGTGAGGTGCGGGAAGCGAGGCCTGTACCTACTCACAGACATCTGTGCTCCTCTTCAGGAGTGGCTTTTGGGGATCATATTCCAGCTCTGCAGCTCTTGTAATTTCTGTGGCATGCCCTGCATAGTCTCCTGTGGCTGGATGTGCTACATGGAAGAAATTCCCCACCCAGCCCCAGTGGCTGTACCCAGGCTGTACCTGTTCCAAGGATAGGCTGCCCAGCTCGGGTGGTTGTGCTGTCCTTTCCAGTGACCTGCATTCACAGTGATTTGTGTCTGCCTATAAATCTGCCACCTGTGCCTGGTGCCATCAGAGCTCTTCCAGGAAATCCCTGTGCCATGGCCTCGCTGCCTGATCCTGTAAAGGGAGGCTGGGACAAAACCAAAGTGAGTTGTGTGCTCTGCTGCAGGCAGGGCATCCCGGGGCTTGGAGTGCAGCCATCCCTGTGGATCATCCGGGCTGGGGTGGCCACTGGCCATGCAGGCAAGTCCTATAATGGGTTTTGGTCTGCTGTCATCCACCAGAGCAGAGTAAGGGCACAGCCACGGCCACCCAGACAAATGCAAATTGACTGCATCAGCTGGGGGAAGACAAACATAAGGAAGAGGAACGGGGTGTGCAGCAGCTCCTGGCGGGATCAGAAGCAGCACTGCTTTCACACACGTTTTGCTTAGCATAAAGGATCCTCTGATGTTTCATGACTATCAAAGGCTTTGAAATTCACAGGAATTTCAAGGAAGGCAGAAGTTCATCTGAAATGAGAGAAAGATTATATTTTCCCTCCCACCATATTTCCAGCTTCCCAAGAATTTTCCTTTGAAGACTCTGCTGCTCCCAGAAATGTCTTTATGATGTTTTTAAAGTCATTTCCCATACAGGATCATCACTGCACAGCACAAGCAAATGGTAGAGGCTCAGAAAGCAATGTATGGGGGTGAGAACTGAGGATGTGGGTGAGCTTCAGCTTCTCAACAAAAGCAAATCATCCATCATTGGTTAGAGGCAAGTGTACCAGATGTCCCTTGGTGGAGGGAGAACGGGTGCTTCCTGAGTGGCTGTTTGACCAAGCAGTGCCTTACTGCTTCCATGCTGGTCAAAATAAGAACACGGATATGAGCTATGGGAGAAATTGCACTTTCTCAAACTCTTTCTCTCAAGAATGAGCCACTCCCATCTGGAAAAGAAAGCACCTGCTAAGTGCCTGCAGCAAGGGAGAAGGTCTCACAGCAAGGCATTTTAATTTCCAGCCCCCAGAAGGGGACTCCTCTCACTGGTCTGCTCTGATATCTGGCCACCAGGGAATAGATAAGCATGGGGCAGACTGCAGAAACTGAGATGAAACTGCTCCTTTCCCCCTGATAAGAGGGAGCTGATATTGAACCTATTAGTCAGATTATGGTGGATCTGAATTTGTTTCCCCTTGAGCAGTAGCTACAGAGACAGAGCAGCTGGATTAAGTTTCACTTTCCTATGTAAAATGACTTAACAGAGTAGATAAAACTTAATATTTGTGAAGGCTCATGTGTTTCCCTGAGACCTGATCTCAATAATGTCTTATGAATGTCTTACTGATTGTTTAATGAATTATTTTTCTTCCTCTCAGACTGTTAATAATAAATTATAAGTAGAAGGAATGTACAGGCTGCTTGAAATAATTCTGTGAATATGAGTTCAGCTGTGGAAGTCACTCTGTTTTGCCTTTTGCTACCTCTGAGCAAGTGCTTTTTGATGAAGATTTTGGGGCAGAGGAGTTCCCCCTGTTCTGAAGGGCAGAACAGGCTCCCCTGTTCTGGGGAGACCCCCCAGGGATCTGAAGGGCAATGAGTGAGCTCCATTGGAGAAGCTCAGCCTATCTGTGAAATACACGAGGTTTCAGTGTAAACCAGCTGGCTGTGTGTCCATTGTTGGACACCTCCCAGATGGACTTTCACTTGGCAAAGCAGAGGCAGGAGGGACAGAGAAGCTTCAGAAGCAGAAGAGGAGGGATGGTCCCTTTTCAAGGCTGTGGAACAGGACTCAGCATCTCACCATCTACCTCACCTGCTGTGGGCTTTGAGAGACCTTCAGTGTGAGTCACATTCACCTCACACAGGTTTTGTTGTCTGAAGGCTTCACATCCAACCAAGCCACCTACATGGAGAGCCCAAGCAGATAAGAGAGGAGGAGAAAAGTTCTTGTTTGTATCAGACTTTTCCTATAATCGAGGCTGACTGCCCTGACTGCTGCCCACGTCCTGCAGCTGACGAGGAGCTGGAGCCTAGCTGAGAAGCCCAGATCAGAACTAAAGTCAGTCATCCCACTGCTGGTGCCAACAGCCACCCACCCACATAGGAATGTTATGTGGATGGGTCTCTACTAGAAGCTATCAGCTACAAGAGGGGTTTCCATATTAGTCATGACCTATAAATATATACTCTATAATATATATATACATGTATTGTAGAGTATAATCCACAGATTATAAAAGTCTGCCCCTTAGCACAGTTCACCCTGGAGGTTTCATGGATCATTTCACACATTTCAGTGTTAAATAACAGCCCCCTCTATATCCATAGGCATGTAAAAGGATCAAACACAGCTACCCCAGTTACTCTCAGCAGCACTTTGCTCACAGGGTGAAAAACAACACAGCATTAAAAGAGGAGAGAGCACCAGGAGAGTACATGAAGGACAGCATGGAAGGCACAGAGTGCTAAGATGTCAGCTGCATTTATAAACTTCCATTATTAGCCTTCATCTTCATCCTTGCCTCTTCCAAATCAAAGTCCTTTCACTTTAAATAGTGCCATGCACCTAGGGGAAGCTGCTGAAAACGCTCACTAGTGCAGTTTTTGCATGCAGCCAAGCCAGCCCATGCCTTGCAGTCAAAACCAGAGGCAAACAGTTTTCACCATCCCAACACACCAGTACCACATGTGGAGCTTAAAGCCAAGCAAGGACATGGAGGACTTTCCACTCAAAGGAGCAGACTTTTGAAGAAGTAGGATGGGCAGCATCCTACCCTGTAGTGTGGGCACACTGCAGAGCAGGGAGGACAGGAGAGGCTGTTCATGCAGTTCCCAGGAACACAGACATGGACTAAGCCAGCAATAATCCTATGTGCTCCTCTGCCCAGTCATTGCACACTGGTCCAGGTGTAGCTGGCCACATTGGTGTGCACAAGAGAGAGGGAAGTGCAACTGAAATCTTCATGGCAACAGGTAAGAAAATGTTCTTTAAACCAAAACCAATTCTGCAGTTTTAGCAGGGATGCCATATACAGAAAATCCACTGAAAGCTTCCTAGTTACTTATTCCAACTGTTTCGGCACACATACATCCTACAACAGCCTTTATTCCACTGGTAAAGTCTGCATTAAAAGCAGTGTCCCAGGCTCCCCTCTGCCCAAAAGGCAGCCCCGAGGCACACCAAGGCTGCAGGTTAGCTGGGAGTCTCAAGTGAGGAAGCATGAGATGGGCAGGTCAGCACTTTTGGTATTGCTCATAGAATGACTCACAGCTTGGATACAAGGCCAGGTAGATGAGGATTACTCACTGCTCCTGTCAGCTGATCAGAGCTCACCTCCTTCCAAAACCTGAGTTAGCAATTGTCACCTTTGCAGACTACAGGGCAGCCAGACTTGCAGCAGCTCATTACCATCATTTAGGCTTGTATGAATCACCCAAATTTTGGGGGACCACGGTGCTGCAGATGGGCCAGGAAGGATGCTCTGGCTTCTCTGCTCCATCTGCTTTCTCCAGGACTCCCACAGCAGCCACAGGCTGGTGGCACATCAGCTTTCCACCACCGTGAGCAGGAGCTGGTGCTCCCTGCAGGGGGAACAGTCGCTGTGTGGGTGCTCCCCAGGCTGGAGGCTGCCAGGCTTAAAGCCACCAAACAACTCTGCTTCACAGCAGCCACTTGTGTGAGCCAAGCTATGGGTCTGCCCTCCTCACAGGGCCCAGAAGTCACTGAGGTCATTTCAGAGGAAAGAAAGCTCAGTGAGAAAGACAGACATCTATGTCCTCAAAGTCACACAGGCACCTGCTGCTGTATGAAATCAAGGGTGAGGTGGGTTTTATTTGCACCTCTTAAAACCCAGGGTGTGGATTCCTCCCAGGCTGGCACCTGATCCTCAGAAGGAACACACGCTGAGGACTGAACAGCAGAGCCCCAGAAAGGTTCTTATGTGTCATCCCAGGTTTTGCAAAGTGGCACATTAGAAACACCTGAGGTATCTCAGCTCCTTTATCTCTGCTCTGATAATGAATGTTTTGACCTTAGCTAGTCTTCCCCACCTCCTTATCTGTATAAACCCACCATTTCAGTAGCAGTGGCTTTGGTGCTGCATTGCTGACTCTTACAACTTGGGCAAAATTGCTCCAGAAATCAGAAATGTGTAGGTCAACATTGGTTAACCTTGTATTAAACTGTGTGGTAATTATTGCCTCTGTGTTACAGCATGCACTTGGCAGTCACTGTGAGCTCATTTGTACAAATACCTACTCATGTCTGTACTTTCATCACACTGGTTTACTAAAATAGCTCCCATATGGGAAATGAATTTTCATGATCAGTTTTCTCTTTCCCAGGCATATTGCTCGTACATCTCCTTCTCTTTTTGTTCTCAGACCTGCATGGCACCAAACCACCGACCTCCCCATGTTTGACAGGGAGCTAAGGAGCATTTCCATATTGCCCCACATTGGTAATGCCCTTATTCTTAGTATTTGGGATGTTAGAAAACAGGTGGAGAAATAAAAGGAGACTTCTTCCAAAAATACATGCCCTTGTTCTTAAAAAAAAAAAAGAAAATCAGGGATTGATTAATTCAGCCTCCAATTATTAGGAAGATGGCGAAGATAACCCTATAAACAACAGGCACTACAGCTGCTCATTGAAAGATCACTGGGCTTTCCTGTAACAAGCTACAATAAACCAGACTATTTATAAGGATGCCTACTGAAAAAAACAGCAGAGAGAGAGAGAGAGAAGGGAAGAAAACATCTGACCAAAAATTGTAATTAATCTGTGGAGGAGCAGGTGACAACTTAGGAGATCCAAGAATGCTGTTTTATAGTCATGAAAATAGTGCTGAACACTGCAGGTCTGCATTCAGGCCACCAAAAGAGAAATCCTGTGAAGCAAGCAGGTGGGGGTGATTTTAATGCAAGGAGGAAGTGTCTCTGAAGTTATCAATTTTCTTTTCAAAAAGATTCTTGCAGCAGGCAAGGATCAAGTAATTACTTTCCCCTGTTCACAAGATATCTCAGAATAGTAACAGACCACACACCCAGGAGATGATTAAAGGAGCCAGGGGTCAGGAACACAGAAAAGCTTGTGATACAGAAGAGAAGATTTGCATGGCCATTAATATTTCATGACTTACAAGCCATGTGGTTCAGAACAAATATCTGCACAATAAAGCAGAACTCTCTGCCATCAGGTTGCATATTTCAAGACATACCTGAGTCATAAAGGTATTATTTACATGCCTTTACCCATGAAAAGAATGCAAAACTGTCTGAATCCTTATACCTACAGTAGGGGAACGTGGAAAGCCTTTCTGAAGGCTCAGCAGGATTTAAGTGGGGCCTCTGCCCTCCGCTAGACCTCTGCACAGAGTGAGTTTCAGCCTAAAAGCAAAGCATAAGTAGCGTGTTTCATACTGCAGGCCTATTAGATCCACTACAAAGGAAAAGAGCTGCTGCACTGTCAGTATGTCTCTGCAGCCTATACTCCAACCCAT